ATTGTTCAAATGATAATAAACAAACATATACAGCATATTTGTCCACTCATATGTTGATAAGAGTATTAAAAACTTGAAAAATATCCCTCTAAGGTACATTTAGAACAGATACAAAATGTGCGATTAATTTGCGATTAATCGCGATTAAATATTTTAATCGACTGACAGTCCTAATATTTACACATGTTCATTTTGTACATTTCTAAAAATAAAATTTGATGGAAATACTTAGTAGCCTTTCTTCCCTGAATTATTTGATCCTATAACATATCATTCATAGCAAACCATGATTTGATTTTTCATCAAACACAGTAGTAGTTTTTTACAGGTAAAAATAACTTACTCTTCTTCCGTTCTACGCCTCAAAGGTCTATAATCGAATCTGTACATGTTATGGAGGTTCTGCAGGGTGTGGGGTATGTATGGTGTATATCTTGGCATATAATGTTGTGTGCTACTGTTGGTGTTTTCAGCTAGCTCAGCTGGCTACATAATGTTGTAACTGTCAGCTAGGCTACCTTTCTAATTTCTTTGCAACAGACATTTTCCACTTCGGTAGGCATCATGGCGCAGTTTCCACAAGTGCACCTAAATAACAACAGTTGTAGGTACAGTACAGTTCGGTTAGTTAGCATATAACATATACGGCTGTACCGACGCCATTGTAAAACTGATGTTCCGCTCAGCCTCAGAGCCGAAAAAAATCACTGTGTTAGACATGGGCGGAGCCTCTCTGGTGGTTAACTAATCAGAACAGAGTGGCCGAGCTGACCAATCGGAGCACACTGGGCTCACAGGGAGGGGGGGGGGCAGGAGCTCCAACAAGCCGTTTAGGACAGAGAGTGAATACACATACTATACAGAGATGTTGTATGAGAAACCAATGTGAGTTTGGAAAATTGCACAGTATAAATCTATTTTAGTAGACCTCAATAATGGAATTATGATCAGTAGAAATGGCCATGACATGGGACCTTTAATATGTAATGCGAGCAGCGATGAGCGGGTCTTCGACGATCCGCGCATTTTCAAGAGTCCTGATGTCCGTGCAAAATATTTAAAAAATCCGGAATCAGGAGGAAGGCCCTGAAAACACGATTTCGTAGCAGAAGAATAATAATAATCTGCAGGAAAACAATAGGTTCCTCGCACTTCGTGCTAGGACACCGTTGGGGTCCCAGCACTCTCGTGCTCGGGCCCTAATAATGAATTAGTGCACGTGTGTCCTCCATGTTGTGATGTGTGTTTCTGTGCTTTTGCTCGTTGTTTTCCCTGGTTGTTAAAGGACACCTATCATGCTATATTTAAATGATATATTGTAGGGCCATACCTATATAAGGTATATTTATACGTTTCTGTTTTCAAAATACCAAACAGATCATGCATTTTAGCCATGCCTCATTTCGCTCTATTTGCTGTTCTCCAGCCCTGTTTTTGCAGGGGGCTGATTCTGTGAGCTGCAGCTGACCACGCCCCCCGTGTTTTATTATATTATTATATAGAGTCGTTATTCATTTGTTTTAAAGCTCAATAAATAACAAAGAAGACCTTTGACCGGCACTTTTCTAATTTTGTCCGGAAGATTTAAACTTTAACGGACATCTTGACCGGCGAAAGAAACTGAAACTGAAACTCTGCCGCACGGTCCCCTCGTTCCTTGGAAGAGGCGGAGAGGTGGGTGTTTGTCATCTGCTGGTGGACTAACCGGAGAGAATTACAGTGCTTGCCTCGACGGGGAGGGATTGCATTGAATTAAAGCAGCAGGAGCAAACGCTTGCCTCGGGGAGGGAGAAAAAAAGCCACAGCGGAGAATAAACAGAAGGGGAACCATGGCAACCATGCACGGGAAGTCTTCTTCGCTGCTTTTGTGGCAGACTACAGTGCCACTTACAGGCCTGGCATATGTACTACAGCGTCTCCAGCGCTTTCGAGCGGCAATGGCCGGCCATGGCCCAACCTCACATTCCCCTGATAGGTGGAGAGTTGGCCCAATAGCCGTAGCGCCACCGTCCTGACAGTGTTCAAATCTGGATCAGTTTTTATCAGATCCGTTGCAGCCCCTTTTTTAGAGATTTGGGTATGGAGGAAAATAGAGAGGGTTGTGTTTTCTGACACTTGGTGAGTTCCCTGGAACACCGGGGACACATATTCATGTATAAAAGACGTACAAAAGTGCATTTTGCATGATAGGTCCCCTTTAAATTGAGCGTATGGATATCAATCATGCGAGTCATAGGCTCGTGCGGGCTACCTACTGTCATGATTTCGGAACCTTTTTCGGTACTTTTGCTGGTCGTTTTCCCTGTTTTGTGTTTGTTCTGCAGGGTCGTCGCTCGCCTTGCGAGCGATTACAATAGGGTCTTCACCGACCTCTGGTCTCAGACCCTAATAATCCTATCGATATCAATAACGATATCAATAACGTAGCGATACAATTATCCTATGGATATCGATCATATCAATATTCCAATTACTTGGACTATTATATTGTATTTTATTTTATTTACTTGCACTATCTGTTTTATTGTGTTGCACTGTTGGAGGAGCCTGTGACCTAAGGATTTCATTGTCATAACTACACTGTAGCTATGCACATATGACAATAAAAGCCTTTAACTTGAACCTTGAATCATGCGAGTTGTAGGCTATCTGCCTTCATTACATGTCATTTGTTAGACGCTTTTATCCAAAGCGACTTACATACATTCAGTACTGTGGACAATCCCCACAGGAGCAATTTGGGGTGAAGTGTCTTGCCCAGGGACACAACGACATGCTGACTGCAGTGGGTTTTGAACCTGTGACCCCCTGATCCGAACACTAACGCACAACCCACTGTACCACACGCCTCCTTCATGATTTCGGAACCTTTTTTGGTGCTTTTGCCGGACGTTTTCCCTGTTTTGTGTGTGTTTGGCAGGGTTGTCGCTCACTGATTAGTTCTATGCCAAAAGAGCTGTGGTATGGATATACTGTATTGGTATTGTGATATTTTTAAATTCAGGTAGCAGTATCGGATCAGAACTGAAAAAAGTGAATTTGTGCAAGTGTAAATGGAACAGAGCCAGGCTAGCTGTTATGCTAAGCTAGGATAACAAGCTGGAGGTTGTCGCTTCGTACAGACATGAGTGGAATTGACAGTGGTATTAAGCTTTCAGCAATCAATACAAAATGTTCAGCTTGTCCTTAAAATACTTAATCACAAACATTTGAAAATGAATGTATCCTTTATTATTTAGCCTCTCTTTGTTTGTTGTTCCATTCCACTTGGAGGAATCCAATGTTGACAGCAGTATAATATATCAGGTCAAGTGTGTTACACACCTCAAATAATGGATTCACGTTCAGGGTGCAAATTGAAAGTGTAAGTCAAATAAAAGACTGATCCAAATAGGTCAGTGCCGGTGTTCTCCTGAGACTTGGTCTGCGTTGAAATGAAAGAAGAACCTGCCTTCCGTCCTCCATGATAAATGCCTTCTGATGTGGAGCCAGGCAGATGGAGGCAGAGATGCATCAAATAAATAAATAAAAAACTGAAGAAAGAGAAGCGTGAGGCTGGGGCTGTGCAGATTATGCAGACAGTTGACTGTTTCACAACCCTCCCACGGAGACTGTGCTGAACAGAAGCTTCGCTTTGATCACCTCTCCGGATTAACTGTCAGTGTGCGTTAGTGTGTACCCTGTGTGTGTGTGTGGTGCATTCGTGTTTGTTATTTTAGAGGTGAAGGAGTGTCTGTGTGTCTGGATCAAGCTTACTGCAGCAATCAGGGGAAAGTTAATGAATTCAACTATTAAATGAGTTCATTGATGGGGTATCCTTTGCAGATGTTTTTGTGAGAATAAAATAAAAAGAAAGGTTATTTGGAGTATGGATAGCAATAACCCTAAAACTCTTGAATACTAGCAACATGTTATCTCTTAGAAAATATTATTTTTGAGCAAGTTTAGTCTCTATTAGAGAGATAGATTTGAAAGAGGGAGATAGAGGCAACTGTGGTGCAGTGGTTAAATCAGCGTCCACCAATCAGAGGGTCAGTTCTTTGATCCCTCTGCAGTCAACATTTCAACATGTCCTTGAACAAGATATCAACATTTTTACAGTAGGCCTGCCTATGGTTGTGAGTTGTATGCATGTCACTTTGGATGAAAGGGTCAGCTAAATAACATAACATGTGATAAAAGGAATGATATGCGTCATTGGAGCCATAATGAGTTTATATCAATTAGATTTTTGAAAAATGTAACTAAAATTGTGGGAATTCATTCATTCAAAATTGCGGAGATATGTTAATTAATTGTTCTCGACACATGCAGTTTCGATACCACTTCCCTTTTGACAATCAGCTGATTGAGGCAGTTATTGTCTCAGATTGTGAATAAGTCATGTTTTCAAAGGGGCCCTATTCTGCTCATGTTCAGGTTCATATTAGTATTCTGTGCCTCTACTGGTACATGTCTCCCTGCTTTAATGTTCAGAGGTCTTTATTCTTCTCATACTGCCTGTGCTGCAGCACCTCTTTTCACCCTCTGTCTGAAACCAGAGCCCAGTCTGCTCTGATTGGTAAGTTTGGCCATCCCTGCTGTGATTGGTCAACCGCCCACACTCAGAGTGTGTGGGAGAGAAACTCACTCTGGAGGGACTTTGGGATTTTAACCTTTGCAGACCGTTTACATGCACAAAAACCTATAGAACATCTGGTAACAATTATTTATTTGTATGCAAAAATAAGAAAAATGTAACAAGATAGAGTCTTAAGAAGAAAAGAAAATAGAAGAAACAAAACAAAGAAAAGACTGAAATCTTTGAGATGCGTGAGAGCGGCCACCCAGACAATTACAAAGTTTGGAAAAAAACAATTGCGCTGGAAAAATTGCTCTCATACCCATAAAAGTTAACGGGCCGCATTCAAATCTGTGGCCACCTTGATAGGGACCGAGCCCCAGTACATAGGCCGAGAAAAGTTCAACTCAATCAGGTCAGAATTATTTTGAGAACGTACCGTCATCAGCTGAGGCTTCGCTGCTGTACCCGTCATAGTCCGCCGTGAGCGCGCTGTACTTGTGCCGGCTCTCCCAGGTGAACCCTCCGCTGTGTTTGGTGTTAGCGGCCTTAGCTCCTCCCCGCAGGCCCTGGGAGCGGCTGACGGCCTCCTGGTACTGACCCATCACTTCATCCTCGCTGTCTGATGACGAGCCCTGCAGGTTGGCATCAGTGTAGGCCTTGTCTGTTTAGGGTAAAGGCAGACGTCCCTGTTACTGTGGGACACCAGAGAAGACCACTGGCAGCCTCTGCTGGCCTCCAGCCTGTACTTCCCCGGGACCCTGATCAACTGCTTTGTAAACCATGGACAGAAAAAGGACTTTTCCAGTGTCAGAATAGAGTTCTCTAGAATCAACAGCGTAGAATCCACATGAAAGGGCTCTGTATTAAATGCTGTTTAGTGTTTTTAAATACCTGTATATTTTCTGCTAAATACAAATAGAGCAAAGGAGGGATATTTTCTGTTGACTCGTGCTCACACTTGCTTTCAACACTCGCTCTCGCACTCAAAAACAAAACTTTATAATAACTTAATAATAATCATATTATTGTCATCTCAATCTGAAGTCCCAGGCTCCTCAAACAGTGCAACATACAAATATGTATAAATGAAATAGAAATAGTGCAAGAAGAAACAGAAATAAAATAGTACAAGATAATGGTGAAAGTGACACAATGGTGTAGTAGATGATATGCTGAAATAAGTCAACTATTTGCATGTAAAATAGAGTAAGATTAAATAAAAACAGAATGTTGAATTGAAAAGTGAACATTGAAATAAAGAAAATGCTGAGTATTGATATGAATACATTGTAGACAGACTTTTGTCTATTTGTCTTTGATTTGACCTTTTTGTTATATTTCATTTCATTAACTTTTTATAGTTTTGTTGTTTGTAACTCAATTCATATACAGTATATAAATCAAATCAAATCAAATCAGGTTTTATTTATATAGCACATTTAAAAGCGATTTTTGGTCGAGCCAAAGTGCTGTACATGTAATAAAAACACATTACTACAAATCACAATAAACGACAATAAATTACAACAGATATATCTTAAAAACAAAATAAAAATAAAACACACGGAAAAGTCAGGAGTCGTGCTCCGCTCTAACTAGAAAGCCAGAGAGAAGAAGTGTGTTTTTAGTTTAGATTTAAAAACCCCTAGGGTCTGGGCCGACCTCACATGGAGGGGCAGAGTGTTCCAGAGCCTAGGGCCAGCTGCTGCGAAGGCTCAGTGCCCTCTGGTTTTAAGCCTGGTCTTGGGCACTACCAGCAGCAGCTGGTCAGCAGACCTTAAAGCTCTGGCTGGGGTGTAGCGCTGGAGCAGTTCAGCTATATAGGCCGGAGCCAGCCCATTTAGTGCTTTAAAAACAAATAAAAGGGTTTTAAAATCAATTCTGAACCGAACTGGAAGCCAGTGTAGTGAGGCCAGAATAGGGGTGATGTGGTCACGCTTTTTGTGGCTAGTCAGCAAACGTGCAGCAGCGTTTTGGACTAGCTGTAGGCGTTTAATTGAGGCCTGGTCCATACCCACATACAGAGCGTTACAATAGTCCAGTCTTGAGGTTACAAAGGCGTTAATAACCCTTTCTAAGTCATTAAAAGATAAATACGACTTGGTTTTGGCCAATAGTCTTATTAAAAAAAGCAGGATTTTACTACGGTGCTGACCTGCTTGTCGAATTTAAAAGTGCTAGTGAAGGTCACTCCAAGGTTCATGACCGAGGGGAGGATGTTCTTTTTGATAGAGCCCAGAATATCAACCGGAGAGGCTGGAGGTTGCGGTCCAAAAAAGATGACCTCAGTCTTGCTCTCGTTGAGGTTGAGAAAGTCTTTGCTCAGCCAGGATTTTATCTCTGCTAAGCAGTCCATCAACTGCTGTAGTGAGTGTTTGACATTTGCTTTGAGAGGCAGATAGATCTGTACATCGTCGGCGTAGCAGTGGAAGGGAATGTTATGTTTTGTGAGAATTGAACCTAGGGGCAGTATGTACAGTAGAAAAAGGATGGGGCCCAGAATCGAGCCTTGGGGAACCCCACAGGTAAGAGGGGCTTTGGCAGAGGAGAAGGCACCTAGCTGCACTGAGAAGCTACGGTCTGTCAGGTAGGACCTGAACCATGCAAGGGCAGAGCCTGTGATGCCAGTGGACTGTTCAAGCCGTGACAGCAGGATGCTATGGTCCACAGTGTCAAAGGCAGCTGTCAGGTCTAACAGCACCAGGACAGCTGGGCTACCTGAGTCGGCGGCTAGGAGCAGATCATTAAAAACTCTTAAAAGGGCTGTTTCAGTGCTGTGCATGGGTTTGAAGCCAGACTGAAACTTTTCATGGATTCCATGGATGGTTAAAAAAGACTGCATACACTACATAAAATTGTCTCCATATTTAAGATATACATCAACAACACTTGTGTTTATATTTTTTTCTTAACTATATTATATAAATATTTCTTGGTGAAACTAAAAGGAAATCCAAGGAGCTACAGAATTGATTGATAGGAGTAAAGTGATTGACCGATTACATTCAGTATCGCCTTCGGAGAATCTTTACAAGGAGAGAATTTCGCTTCAGACAGAATTTGATTCTCTGTCCAATGGGGACGCTGTAGATCTTCACTTAAAATCACACTTTCATTTCAACGAACATGGGGAGCGTGCCAGCAAGCTTTTGTGCCATCAACTTAAACAGTCAGCAGCAGCAGCTTTTATATCTGCAATAAAAGATGAGGAAGGTAATATTGTTACAGACCAAAAAAACATGAATGCCCAGTTTCAGTCTTTCTATGAGAATTTGTACACCTCGGAGGCAAGTAACAAAGAATTAGTAGATGACTTCTTTAGTCAAATTGAAATGCCCTCCTTGGATGAATCAGACAAATCTGGACTGGAGAGAAATATAACTTTAACAGAGATTGATAACGCAATTTAAAAAATGAAGCCCGGAAAAGCACAAGGCCCTGTGAATATTTTAAGAAATTTGCCCCTAAACTACTGCCGCTATTAGTAAAGGTATTCGAGGAGGTCCTGGTTAGGAAGGCTCTTCCCCCAACTATGACGCAGGCCTCTATCTCATTATTACTCAAAAAGAATAAAGATCCGTTGTCGTGTGAATCATATCGCCCGATTGTTGCGACTATAACATTCTAACCAAGGTCCTAGCAGGGAGGCTTGAGAAAATGATGCCTAAATTGATACATCCAGATCAGACTGGTTTCATTGTGGGTAGACAGCTATCAAGCAACCTCCGCCGTGTATTCAATGTTATCTACCAGCCCAACAATGTCGAACCTGAACTTATTATATCCTTGGATGCACAGAAGGCGTTTGATAGGATGGAATACAATTACCTGTTCACTGCGCTCGAGAAGTTCGGCTTCGGCCCTACTTTTTGTTGGTTGATCAAGATCCTTTATACAGCGCCTAAAGCTTCAATTCGAACTAATAAGATAATATCTCATTCTTTCCCACTTTTTCGTGGGACACGACAGGGTTGTCCACTGAGCCCCCAGATATTCGATATTGCTATAGAGCCCCTGGCAATACTGTTAAGAGAGACCGCCAGTCTAATTGGAGTGCAAAGGGGGGGAGAATTGAATAAATTGTCGCTCTATGCGGATGATCTTCTTCTTTCTCTTTCGGATCCCCATGCCACTATACCTATTGCCTTGGAACTTATCGCCGAGTTTGGCCGGGTGTCGGGCTATAAATTGAACCTGAGTAAAAGTGTTCTCTTCCCCATAAATGATAAAGCATGTCAAATGTCATTTCAGAACTTCCCTTTCTCTGTGTGTAAGGACAGCTTTACATACCTAGGTGTCTGTGTCACTTACAAATACAAAGATCTGATGGACAATCATTTGAAAACAGTGCTTGGTAAGGCTAAACTGGACATGGAGAGATGGTCGACTCTCCCCCTGTCACTAGCTGGCAGGGTTAATTCTGTTAAAATGACGATCATGCCCAGGTTCTTATTTCGGTTTCAGGCAATCCCAATCTTCATCCCTAAATCCTTCTTTAGGGAATTAAATAAGTGCACTTCCACTTTTATTTGGAATAAAGCTGTACCTCGAATTAGGAAAGAGTATTTGGAAAGGCCAAAGGGGGAGGGTGGTTTGTCCTTACCCAATTATTTGTATTATTATTGGGCTGCCAACACCCACAAGCTGATGTTTTGGGTTGATGTGACGGACGAATCCCCAGTTTGGTCTGTAATGGAGTAGGGCTGCACGATTTGGGGAAATAATCTAATTGCGATTTTTCTGACAGATATTGCGATTGCGATTCGATTTGCGATATTTGTTTTTAAGCGACCCAACGGAAGTTTATTGTAAAATGCGGCCATATCTCCGGCTAGGAAGGTTGTATCAACGTGCTCCCGTCTCTAGCACCCCCGCAGCCCGAGCTACGAGTGAAAGAACTAAACTTACATGAAGCTTCCGTTGGGTTGCTTTAAAGTCAAGCTTCAGTTTCAGATTCACCCTGTAATAGATATAAAACATGTGATGGAGCATTACTAACCTGACTCAGATGCTTTGTTTCACCAAACCATCTAGGAAAGCTCCATTGGAAGCCATTTGGAAAAGTATTTCAAAAATACTTGGCAGGTGATTGGATCAATCTGTCTATCACCTACTATCATGGGCCACTTCTGATTGGTTAACAATGACTGGTACATGTGGAGCACAGCACTTCTGATTGGTGTGGATGACTGACACACAAGAAGAAAAAAAAAAAGTTTAAAAAAAAATCACAGGCTTTGCGATTTGATAATCGCATCATTTAAAATCGCGATTTCGATTTAAAATCGATGAATCATTCAGCCCTATAATGGAGCAGCATTCAAGTAATCCAGTGTCACTTTGCTCTTTAATTTGCGCTCCGCTACCCTTGAGTACAAACTACTGGACGAATAACCCAGTCATCCAAGGCTCTCTAAAGATATGGACTCAGTTTAGAATTCATTTCAAACACAAACAGGCACTTATTGCTTCCCCAATTCTGGTAAATGTAAATGTTTCTCCATCTCTCACTGATCCATCTTTTCGGTTATGGTATGGGAGAGGAATTAGGTGTGTTAAAGATCTTTTAAAAATTGACACTTTATTTCTTTTGAACAGTTAAAGAAGGATTTCAATATCCCACAGTCATGTTTCTTCAGATATCTGCAGATACGTAGTTAT